CCCCTCCTTGCGATGTCTCCCCAGATTTCATGGTCTGCGCACATGCTTTGGGCCATGATTTGCACATCCCCCTCATGGACACCCCCCTCTTGGACGCCCCCGAAAAACCCTCTGCGAACCTTGTGGGAGGGCCGAACCGATGTCGAGAGCCTGGCAGGCAAAGCGCCCCCTCTGGCAGGCTGCGGGGCCGGCAGCGAAGCACCGCCCCCCCCTGCCTTCTGGAAGCGCCTGCTTGTGGCCGAACGCTCGGCCGACGTTGGGCCAAGCTGTTGGACTACCTGCTTCCCTAGCCGTTGTGGAAGCCCTTGAGGGGGAACACTTGAGAGAGGAAAAGGGCAATGAGGAGGAGGAGGAGGAGGAGGAGGAGGAGGAGGAGGAGGGGGAGACCTCTGAGGGAGGAGGAGGAGGAGGAGGAGGAGGAGGAGGAGGAGGATGAGGAGGAGATGAGGCCTCTGAAGGGCGGAAAGGAGGAGAGAGGAGGTAGGAGTGAGGAGGAGGAGGTAGCTCTGAGGGAGGAGGAAGGAGGAGGAGGAGGAGGAGGAGGAGGCATCTGAGGGATCTGAAATGAGGAGGAGGGGCCTCTGAGGGGGGAGGAGGAGGAGAGGAGGAGGAGGAGGAGGAGGAGGAGGAGGAAGAGGAAGAGGAATAAGAAGAAGAAACAGAAGAAGAAGACGAATAAGACGAAACCGAAGACGAATAATATAATAATAATAAGCAGAAGCAGAAGCATAAGCATAAGTAACAAACATACGATTACTACTAATACTAATAATAATACTACTACTACTACTAATACTAATACTAATACTATTCATAATAATAATAATAATAATACTAATAATAATAATACTAAGAATAATAATAATAATAATAAAGTAATAATAATAATAAAATAATCATACTAAGAAGAAGAGGAAGAAGAAGAGGAGGAGGAGGAGGGAGGAGGAGGCCTCTGGGGGCCCTCTCGGTGCCCTCTTGGGGCCTGCTGGGAGCCTCTAGGGGACCTCGTGGGGACCTCGCGGGGGTCTCTTGGGCCGTCCTGCGGGCCTCTCTGAACCGTCTTGCGGGGGGGTCTCCTGGGCCGCCCTGGAGCCCTCGTGGGGAGGCGTCCTGGAGCGTGTTGGCTCCGTTCTGGGCGCAGGAGCCGAGGAAAGCTCTTTGTTTTGTCTGGCTGACGCCATACGCGTTTCTTTAAACGCCCCTGTGTTTCCATTTTATATAGTTGCCGTTCCTCTTCTTGCTGCGCTCTTCGGAAATCACTGTTGGGTGCTCTTCTTGCGCACTGCGGGTCCTTCAGAATGCCACTCAGCATTGAGTGGTCCTGAGTATAATCGCCACATGTGTAGAAAGGGTTGGGTACGTCACAGGGTAATTTGTCTGGTTGACCAGCTGCTTGGGCCGCAGGCCTCACAAATCTGGCACGCCGAGCCAAGCACCCCTGGGGCAAGCCAAAGAGGGCGGCGGGTCCAGAGGCATGGGGCCCAGCACGCCACCGCACCTGGGTTGTGCACGGGAGGCCTCGTGGATGCCTCTTGGGGCCTCTCGGAGGCCTCTCTGGGGCTGCTTGAATAGGGAAACAAAAAGTGGCAGAAACATAAAACTCGGAGGTCTGCGCGGATTTCTCGGATCCGCACTGGACCCCCCTCCCTGGCGCGCGGGGCGCGCCAGGGGCGGCGCCGGAGGCGCCGCCGGGGGGCCTCAGCGCCGATCCGAGAAATCCGCGCGGACCTCCGAGTTCTTATGTTTATGCCATTTTTTGTTATCCCATTGAAGGTCCTTTGGAGCCTTCCTGGGGCCTCTGTGGGACCGCGGAACGGCCACGGCGCCTGCGCCAACGAGCCGTGAGAGCGGGTCCAGCAGTCGACCGACGAGGATCAGCTGGGGTGTTCCGTGCGCCCACCCCCGAAGCCCCTTTCCCCGAAAGCAGGCGTCCTCAGAAAGTCGCCGTTGGGGCCTGGTGGCTGTCCCGAGAGCAGCTGGGGGGTCGACGACCCAGCGAGCTTGCCATCGTGGACTCCTCGCAGGGCGCCTTTTGGGCGCCCGGTCGGCCCCTCCTTGGGTCCTCGGAATGCCCTCGTGGGCGGATCTTCGGGGCCCTTTTGCAGTGGCAGCCCATGCCAAGAAACACCCTGCTTCTCCTCCTCCTCCTCCTCCTCCTCCTCCTCCTCTTCCTCCTCCTCTCCTCCTCCTCTTCCTCCTCCCTCAGAGGCCTCCTCCTCCTCCTCCTCCTCCTCCTCCTCCTCCTCCTCCTCCTCCTCCTCTCCAGGGTGTCCTGGGCTTCTTGGGCTTCGATGGTTCTGCCATGGGAGGCGTGACGCTCCCGTGCCAGGAATCGATGCACGTCCTGGGATTCCAGGGTCGCGTTTCTTGTGGAAGGTTTCTTGTGGTCTGGGCCCTACTGTAGGCCGTCTTTGACGTGCGAAAATCGTGCAAGATTTTTCAATGTTGTTGGGCCTCTTGGGCTGGCTGCCGTGGCCCATCGTGGCCCCAAGATGGCCCAGACGAGCCCGAGGACGCTCCGTGGGGATAGTTCCGGATATTTCTTGTTGAGCGTTGCTCGGATGGCGATTTTGGGACGCTGCAAGCGGTTAGGGCGGATCTGGGTTTCTTGAAGGCCCACGCGAGAAACGCTTATCAGGAACGCCTAGGAACGCCCACGATTTCCTGCAAATTGGTGGTCTGGGCTCTTTTCTGTCTCTCTCTCTCTCTCTCACACTTTCTCTCCCTCTCTCTCTCTCTCTCGGTCGTTCTGTCTCTCATAGTCTCGCTCTCTCTCTCTCTCTCTCTTTGTTTGTCTCTCTCTCTCTCTCTCACTCTCTCTCTCTCTCTCTTTGTTTATCTCTCTCTCTCTCTCTCCCTCTCGTTCTCCAGATAAGTATGCATGTAGTCGTTGTTCATGTGTTGTGTGTGGTGATGGCTTCCCTTTTCTCGTGCTCTCTCTCTCTCTCTCTCCCTGTCTGTCTCTTGATCTATCTCTTTCTGGGGTGGGGATGTGAGGACAGCTGAGCCGCGGAGTTGGCTTTGAGCGTTTTGTGCAGGTACGCCTCGAAGCAGCACCCGGCGCAGGCGGTGATGACGCCCGGGCAGGTTCGGGCGAGCCCTCTGCCAGCTTCTTGTGCCATGTGGCGAACGAGTACGTGTTCGCGAGCAAATCATGGGAGCCTGGCATACCCTCTCAATGCCGTTTTCAGCGTCGGTCAGGTCTGGGAGTCGACGAGGTAGCGCCGATTTAGCGACTGGCGTCGACGAGCGTCGGTTTAGCGTCCATTCAGCGTCGATCAGCGTCGGTTCACAAGATCCGACAAGATGGTATGGAAGGCTCCCGTGAGCTACCACCGAACACATGAGGCCTCCGTTGTTTCCACCCCCTCTGTATTTTTCTCTCCTTCACCGTCAACTCCGTCCTCTCACTGTCCTCCCCTCGCCTTTCTTCAGCCCCTGTGCATTCCCCTCGCCGTCCTCCCCCCCTCTCTCTCTCTTCCCCCCTCGGGGGAACGTTTTTTTCTGTTGCTTGTTCCTCCTTTCTTGAAAGCCAAAAGTCCGGTGCTTGCTGTCAGCAGCACGGAAGACTGCAGGCCATACGGAGCCGACACCGAACGACCAACAGAGGCCGAGCCATCTCGATCTCACAAAGAGGGGACACGCGCACGCGTCGACGGCAGGCAGGAAACCACGGGGCCACTTCCCAAACAGGGAGGACGCCCCCTAGCCAACTTTGCCTATCCCCGGCGTCAGTCCGACGATCCCGCCGAAGGGGAGGAGGAGGGGGAGGAGGAGGGGGAGGAGGAGGAGGAGGAGGAGGAGGAGGAGGAGGAGGAGGAGGGAGGAAAAGGAAATGAAGGAAGGAGAGGGAGGGGAGGGAAAGAGAGGAGGAGGAGGGAGGAGGAGGAGGAGGAGGAGGAGGAGGAGGAGGAGGAGGAGGAGGAGGAGGAGGAGGAGGAGGAGGAGGAGGAGGAGGAGGAGGGGGGCCTGGAGGAGAGGCGGCGGGAGGGCGGAGGCGCCCGGGCGGGCTGCCCGCAAGAGCCCTCCGCGGGCTGCTGGTGGAGCCGCGGGGGGCGCCTCTCGGGGGGGGGCCTTCTTGCGGGCTGTCGGCGGGGCCCCCTCTGCGGGTCGTCGGCGGGGCTCCTCGGACGCCTCGGGGGGGGCCCAGGCAGGTTGTCTGTGGGGTTTTCCGTTAATTCGGGCGTGTCCTTCTAGAAATATACGAAATTAGCTAGGCGAAGGACCCAACCGAATGCAGTTGTGAATGCAGCAATTGTGAATACCATCTTCGCCCGCGCTCCCTATGTGGCCACGGCTTCCCGCCGGAACCCGACATGCTCACGGACACGTTCGTGGCCGCTTTCGCGGGCGCCGACGACGACGAGGACGGCGTCCTTCTGACCGAGGAGCAGGAGCAGGAGAGGGCTCTGAGAGCCATGAGGGACGAGGTGGCGTTGCACGTCGACAAAGCGGAGTGCGACGCCGAGGCGCGGTTGTTGAAGCAGCACAATTATGGGGCTACGATCCTCGTCGCTAGAACCTCGTGATGGGTGCGCAGACATGGCCCGAGGCCGCCACGCGAACCCTGTCGCCGGCGCCTTCGGTGGAGCTATCGTGGGGCCTCGATCCTCGCGAGGGGTGTGCCGAAATGGCCAGAGGCCGCCGTGCGAACCTTGCCACTGGCGACTTCGGTGGAGCTCCTACGGGGCTATGATCCTCGTGACGGGCGCGCCGAAACGGCCCGAGCCCTCCGTGCGATCCCTGCCGCTGGGGCCTTGGTGGAGCTCCTACGGGGTCGCGGTGCGCCGAAATGGCCCGAGGCCGCCACGCGAACCCTGCAACTGGGGCATTCAGTGGAGTTCCTTATGGGGCCACGACCCCCGCGAGGGGCGTGGCGAAATGGCCGGAGGCCGCCGTGCGAACCCTGCCATTGGCGCCTTCGGCGGAGCTCCTTATGGGGCCGCGATCCTCGCGAGGGGTGCGCCGAAATGGTCCGAGGCCGCCGTGCGAACCCTGCTGTTGGCGCCTTCGGTGGAGCTCCTACGGGGCTACGATCCTCGTGAGGGGTGCGCCGGAATAGCCCGAGGACGCCGCGCGAACCCTGCCGTTGGCGCATTCGGTGGAGCTCCCCACGGGGCCACGGTGCTTGTGAGGGGTGTGCCGAAATGGCCCGGGGCCGCCGTGCGAACCCTGCCACCGGGGCCTTCGGCGGAGTCCCTACGGGGCCATGATCCTCGTGAGGGGTGTGCCGAAATGGCCCGAGGCCGCCCTGCGAGCCCTGCCGCTGGGGCATTCGGTGGGGCCTCCTCATGTGGTCACGATGCGCTGCGGTGGGTGTGCCGAAACAGAGATGCAGGGAAGAGGAGGGGGGAGGGGGGGAGGAGGAAGAAGCGAGGAACGCGGGTCGGTGTCTCTTCAAAACGTGGTCCCAACACCACAGGATGGTGAGGAAATCGTGAGCAATAGTCATATATAGTTAGGGGACGATCAGTATAACTTCTTATGGCGTTTTTTCCCAAATCCGCCTGTTGGAGGACATGCCCGACCAAAACCTTTTGCAGGTTGTCAACGGCTTCTTTGCGGGTTGTCAGTGGCGCCCCCGCCAAGTTTTCACCAGCCTCCCTCGCGGTTTCTGGTTGGGTGCGTTCCAGGTGATTCGTTCGCTTCCTAGGGTCGGGTGTCAGACGTGGGGCGCGCGCGTAGCTTGCCCCATATCCTGTTTTCCTTTCCCCGCTACCGTCCGTTCCCCAGCCCCGTTTCCCTCGCATCCTACGGCACCTTGAAACATCTCGTCTCAGTTCATGTCCCTCCCTCCTGTATCCTTCCTTCCTTCCTTCCGTCCCTCCTTTCCTTTTGCTTTCCCTCCCTCCCTTCCGTTCCTCTCCCCGCACCGGGGCGCTGGTGTTCCGATCAGCGACCCGACGCGAGGTCGTCTCGGTGTGGGGTGCGACCCCATCGAAGGAGGACCGCTACACGCCCTTCTTCTCCCAGAAGAGCATCTGCTTCGACGGCGACTTCAGCAGGCGGGCTGCCCTCTTCCCCTCCTCCTGGCAGGGCTCGACCTGGTGGACGGAAGTTCGGTGACTTCGCTCTTCCTCCCTCCTTCCTCCTCCTCCTCCTCCTCCTCCTGTTTCTCCTCCTCGTCCTTCTCTTCCTGCTCCTCCTTCTCTTCCTCCTCCTCCTGCTCCTCCTCCTCTTCTTCTTCCTCCTCCTCCTCCTCCTCCTCCTCCTCCTCCTCCTCCCCCTTCCTCCTCCTCCTCCTCCTCCTCCTGCTCCTCCTCCTCTTCTTCCTCCTCCTCCCCCTCCGCCGTGGACAGAGGACCGAGGACAGCCGAGGAACAGGCGGGCAGAGCGAGGAGACACCGAAATCAAAACGACGGCACGAACCACACGGCTTGGGTCGAGCGGTGCTTCCCGGCCTTGCTCCCCCCCATCGTCGATTTTCGCCCGGGGCCCAGGCCTCGAAGCTCGATCTTGCCGGCGCTGCTCTTCCAGCCGGAAGAGGGAATTTGGCACAAACGTCGATTACGTGGGCGTGTTGTCCACCACCGCCACGATAAGCTGGAGGGGGGAAGGAGGTGGAGGATGAGGAGGAGGGCGAAGAGGAGGATGAGGACGAGGACCCCCTCCCCCTCCTACTTATGGTGGTGGCGGTGGAAAACAAGACCACGAAAATAGTTTGAGCTCCACGCGGATTTCTCGGATCTGCGCTGGGCCCCACTGAGTCGCCTCCAGCGCCCCCCCTGGCGCGCTCCGCGTGCCAGGGATGGGGTGTCCAGCGCCGATCCGTGAACATCCGCGCGGAGCTCCTGCAGACGATGCTTTTGTGTTCTGTCCGGTTCCCCTTTCAAAGCTCGAGCTCGCGTAGGTGCTGTTCCTCTGGACCGTGTCTTTCGGTGAGGCCACGGCGGGCGCCGCTTCGCGCCACGCCTTGGACCTCGGGGGTGGGGCAGAGGCTGCCAGGTCGCCCGCTGGTGGGCGCAAAGACGGCCGCGCCTTCGCGCGCCGCGCTCCCCCGTCCTCTGTCGTCCTCCCTCGTTCCCCCCTCCCGTCTTGACTTGCCCTCCTCCCGTCGTCCCCCCTCCCAAAGGATGAGGCACCGCGTGGGCGTGATGAGCCACCGGGGGCACAAGCCGGAGTCGCCCAACCAGGAGCTCCAGTCCTGCGCACTTGGTCGCCTTTTGACGCCCGTGGTCTCCCGAGAAGGGCCCATGGCAGGGGGTAGGAGAGGGAGGACGGGGAGGAGAACGAGGACGAGGAGAAGGAGGAGCAGGAGGAGAAGGACGACGACGACGACGACGACGACGAGGACGACGACAAGGATGAGGGCAGCGACGATCATGAGACGTGGGACAACGGAGGTGATGATGCTGCGGATGATGATGGTGATGATGATGATGATGATGATGACGACGATTACTTTGATGATGACGATAACGATGACGATAATGCTGACGATTATGACGATGATAATGATGATGATAATGATGATGATGATGATGATGATGATGATGATGATGATGATGATGATGATGATGATGATGATACAGTGATGATGATGATGATGCCGCTACTGATGATGATGAGGAGGATGATGAGGATGATGAGGACGAGGATGAGGATTAGGATGAGGAGGATGATGACAAACATTATGATGTCAATGATGATGTCGATGATTATGCTGATGATGATGATGGTGGTGGTGATGATGATGATGATGATGATGATGATGATAGTGGCGATGGTGATACTGATGATGGTGATGCTGATGCTGATGCTGATGCTGATGACGACGATGATGATGATGATGATGATGATGATGATGATGATGGTGGTGGTTGTGGTGATGATGGTGATTGTGATGCTGATGCTGATGCTGACGCTGACGCTGCTGCTGATACTTTTGATGATGTTACTGCTGCTGCTGCTGCTGCTGCTGCTGCTGATGATGATGATGATGATGATGATGATGATGATGGTGCTGCTGCTGCTGATGATGATGATCATGATGCTGCTGCTACTTCTGATGATGATGATGTTGATGATGATGATGATGGTGGTGGTGATGATGATGATGATGATGATGATGATGATGATGATGATGATGATGATGATGATGATGATGATGATGATGATGATCGGTGGCGTATTGCAGGAATCTAGGAGATCAGGAGAACCAGCACGTTCTTGAGCTCTGACGGGGAGCCCTCATCGCGCGGTGCAGCCGCAACGGTTGCCGGATGGTCCAACACACCCTGTTGTGTCTGCACCCCGCCGCCCGGGTGTGACGGCCGCCGATGACCGGAGAGCGACTCCAGCCTGGCAGTACGGGCCCGACAAGTGGACGAGGCACGGCGACTACAGAAATGATGACCCACAGAGCGTTATTACCAAGCAAAATCAAAAGACTCCAGCACCAGCGACAGGACCGCGAAGCAGCCACCCGTAACGACGATAACCTCCACACACACACACCGAAGTATACCTCCAAGGGCACCGGTACGAAAAAGATCTCCGCGAGCATCCTCCTGGAGGCCAACGAAGAAGACATCCATGAACACTCTCCCGGAAAAGGTTTCCGCGAGCACATTTGTGAGGACATCCATGAGCGCCCTCCCAAGAATGCCTCCGCGAACGCCAGTGAAGAAAACATCTGCGAACATAATCCCGTAGAGGACCCACGCGAGGACATCCATGGAGAAGACCTCTGCGATGACGCTCCGAAGAGAAGGCCTTCGCGAACACCAGTGCCAAGAGAACCTCCGCGAACACCTTCTTGGAGAAGGCCTCCGCAAACGAGCACCTTTAGGAGCAGGACCGCCACGAGCACCTTCCGAAGTGGCCCTCTGCGAAAACGGGAGTGAAGGAAGCCTCTGCGGGCACCCTTCCAGAGAAGACTTTTGCGATCACCCTCCAGAGAAGGCCTTTCCGAGCACCGGCGCGAAGAGAACTTCCACGAACACCCTGCCGGAGAAGGCCTCCACGAGCACCCTGATGGCGAGGACTTCCACGAACACCTCTCGAAGAGGCCTCGATGAACAGCGTGGCGAAGAAGAACAGCACTAATAATTTCAGTAATAATAAGAAGAAACCTAAATACTTAACATGCGAATGATGTAATACATATAATAATAGTAGTAACATCGCCTCCATGAGTACCCTCGAAGAGAAGGCCTCTGCGATCGTATTCATAAAGGAGACAGCCGTGGAAACGCTCCACGATGACTTTGGCCACGAACACATCCAGGGAACGCTCTGCGCGGCAGAGCACGTCATGGGAGCAGGAGCAGGGCACCCCCGACACCAGGATACCTATGCCGAGTTTCTTCATAAGCGTCGGGGGGGCGTCACCCCCGCCGACAACCCCACATCGACCCCCGTCGCAGGCAGCCACCGCGCGCCGAAGGCGCTCCGACCCCCGTCGCGGCGCGACGACGAGGCGAAGTTGACCCCCGCCGGGGGGGTACCCCCCAACGATTATTAAGAAATCCGGAGTAATCTACATAATAATAATAATGCCGGTAGCCAGAAGAAAGCGCGAAACTGAGCGGCAAGGAACCACGAGGGTTCTCACGCAACGCTGCTGGGCCCGCGTGGAGCGTGGCGCCGCCGGCGGCGGCCAGGGTCCCGCGGTGCACCTTGCCCCCGCCGGCCCGGCGGGAAGGGGTCGTGTCCCCCGACGATTGCGGCACCATCCCGCACGGCATGACGCGGAGAGACCCCGCGCACGGCCGACGGCCAGCGAGAGACCAGTCCAGAAGAGGTGGCTTCTCCAACCACTGGCGTGACAACCACACGTATGATGCACCTCGTGGAGAGGGAGAGGGAGAGGGAGAGAGAGAGAGAGAGAGAGCAAGCCGAGCAAGAGAGAAGGACTGGAAATAGCTGAGCCACACCTTGGCCGTTGCACAGTGCTGCGAGTACCCCACGGTGGAAGCTGATGATTATCGGTGGCGCACTGCAGGAGTATGGGAGATCAGGAGAACCAGCACGTTGTTGGGCCCTGGCGCTGAGCCGCAACCGCGCAGTGCAGCCGCAACGATTACCCGAATGTCTGACACACCCTGTTGTGGCTGCACCCCGCCGCGTGGGTGTGACGGCCACTGGTGACCGGAGGGCAGCACGGGCCCAACGATTGGACGAGGCACGGCGACTATAGAGATGATGGTGGTGGTGGTGCTGATGAATATGTGATGATGGTATGATGATGGTGATGGTGTTACTGCTGCTGCTGCTGCGGATGCTGATGATGATGAGGAGGAGGATCATGAGGATGATTAGTTGGATAAGGGTGAGCACGATGGTTGTGATGACGAGATGATTATGACGATGATGAAAGGGATGGGGATAGGAACTGGGTGGTGACGATGACGTTGACGTAGACGATGACGATGACGGTGATGATGGTGGCCATGCATATGGTGAAGATGACGATGATGATAATGAATATGCATATGACGCATATGATTATTGTGGTAGTAGTGGCGGTGAGATAATGAAGATGTTGATGATGCTCTTGGTGGTACTGATGCCGAGAATGATGATGACGATGGTGCTAATGATGATGATGATGATGATGATGATGATGATGATGCTGATGCTGATGCTGATGCTGATGCTGATGCTGATGATGATGATGATGATGATGATGATGATGACCGTGGTGTTGATGGTGCTGGTAATGACTTTGCTGATGATGCTGATGCTGATGCCGATGGGGATTTTGATGGTGACGACGACGGTGGTGATGACGTCGACGACGTCATTGGCGACGACAGAGACGTCGACGATGATGATCCTGGTGATTCTGATGATGTTGACGATTATGTTGGCAATGACGCTGGTGTGAATGCTAAGAATGCTGATGGTGTTGCTGATGGTGACGCTGATAATGACTATGGTGATGGCGAGGGTAACAGGTATGATGACGGTGATGATGGTGACCACGACGACGATGACGACGGTGATGGCCATAGTGTAAATGATGATGGAGGCTGTAGGGGTGGTGGTTATGATCGTGATGATGATGCTGATCAGGAGGATGATGATGATGATGGTGATGATGATAACGATGGCGATGGCGATTGCGATGACGATGATTGTGATGGTGATGGTGAGGTCGAGGGTGTGGGTGAGGAGGAGGAGAAGGAGGAGGAAAAGAAGGAGGAAAAGAAGGAGGAGGAGGAGTAGGACGTAGGAGGACGTAGGAGGACGTAGGAGGACGAGGACGACGGCTGCGCAGGCGTTGCCTGCTGCAGGAAAACAGAGCGCGCCCTGTCCTGAGGGCCTCTGCTCCTCATTAGGGGCAACGCTCGGGGGGATGGGGACGCATCGACCCCCAATCACCCGCTCATCGCCGATGTGGGCTCGATGCAGTCAACCCGTATAGTAAGGATACGCGATATGGATGCAAGGGCCTTGGACGCCCAGTTCGAAGCGTTTTGAGCGGGGCGTGGCCAATGAAAGTGGCCAAGGATTGACCGAGGAGGCAAGGATGCAAGGGTACCCTTGGGAGGGTTGCGTATCCTTACTATGCGGGTCGACTGTAGCCCCACCCCGCCGTGGAACGTTCGCATTCGCTATCGATGGCCTCTCGCCGACCTATCGGCGAGGTATCGCCGATTCCGGATCGATGTTCCCCCCTTGAGCCGGTTCCTCTCTTATCGTTGCGCCGTGGTTTTGGGGTCAGAACTCGGCTTTCCAGCGGCCGTTCGAGACAATCCGGGCACCCCGCTCTCAGGGAGTCGCAGCTGCTGGAAGGCCTCCCGAGGCGACGCCGACGACCGACGAAGACTCCCGAAAATCGCGAACCTCGAGCTTATCGTTCTCCCTCGCCTCGCTCCACTGCCCGCACCGCGCCTTTCGGAAGGACGACTTTTTCGTGCTGGCGCGCAAGGAGTGCGTGCTGTTCGGGGTGCCCCCCCGCGCTTTCTCCTGGGGCGAGGGTCGGACATAGCCAGGACCCAGTGAGTGATTGAGCCCCGAAGCCAGGTCAGCCAGAATCACCAAGCCAAGTCTGCCGTAGCTGGTGTCTCTTCGGGTGGCGGGGGGGCGTCCCCCCGTGCTGCACATGCCGAGTCAGGTCCCACTCGGCCCAGTCCCGCCAAGGCCAGAAGAGGGCGAACGGGGGTGCGCGCGCGCGCCCGGGGCAGGGCCATATCTCGGACGGGGCACTTTGTTGGGCCCAGCGGGAGTGGGAGCGGGGGTGATTAGAGGGGAAGGGGACGAGGAGGAGGAGTTGGAGGAGGAAGAGAGCGAAGAGGGGCAGGAGGAGGATGAGGAGGAGGAGGAGGAGGGGTGGGCGGAGTGGGAAGAGGGGGAGGTGGATGATGAGGAGAAGGATGAGGAAGATAGTGGTGGTGGTGATGATAGTGGCGGTGACGATGACGAGGACGATGGTGATGATGATGATGATGATGATGATGATGATGATGATGATGATGATGATGATGATGATGATGCTGATGCTGATGCTGATGATGATGATACTGATGATGATGATGATGATGATGATGATGATGATGATGATGATGATGATGATGATGATGATGATACTGATGATGATGATGATGATGATGATAATGATGATGATGATGCTGATGATGATACTGATACTGATACTGATACTGATACTGACACTGATACTGATACTGATGATGATGGCGATTGTGGTGGTGGTGATGATGACGATGATGATGCTTATGCTGAAGCTGATGCTGCTGATGATGATGGTGATGCTGATGCTGATGCTGATGCGCATTGCGATGATGGCGATGATTACGATGATGATGATGCTGATGATGATGCAGCTGTCGATTGGTATGATGATGCTGATGATGATAACGACGATTATGATGCTGATGATGATGACGATGATGATGATGATGATGATGATGATGATGATGATGATGATGATGATGATGATGATGATGATGATGATGATGCTGCTTATGATGATGATGTTGCCTGTTGATGCTGATGAAATTGTGATGATGGTGACGATGACGATGACGATGGTGGTGGTGGTGGTGGTGATGGTGGTGGTGGTGATGATGATGAGGAGGAGGAGAAATTCTGGATGAGGATGAGGACGAGGCTGGGGATGAGGATTCGACGAGGTCGTTGTCGTGGTCGAGAAATGAGGAGGAGGAGGAGGAGGAGGAGAAGGACCAGCGTAAACCCAAGAGTCACCAACGATGCCGGAATAAACCCTCCCCGCAAGCTCCCTCTTCATAGGCCCCTACAACGGTTCATTTCCAAAGAGGGACCTGCCTCGTTGGAAGACAACGGTTTCAAGACCCTGAAGCATGCCAAACATTGTTCTCGCGATTCCAACGCCACGGATCAACCTGACTGTTGCGTCTTGACGATCCAGAATCGTGCTAGAACGCCATTCTTGGGACTTCAACACCGCGAATCATGGTAACCGTTGCGCCCTCGTAATTGTGAATCCTTCCGAACACCATTTTTGATACGTCGGTCATGGGAGCCCGTGAAACTCTTGCAATATTTGAAAAAGAATATGCGCGGCGCTAAGACGAGAGCCACATTTTGAAAACGACCCGCCCTCAACCAGTGAAACTCTAGCAAATGTTTCAAAGGAATGTGCACGGCGCTAAGGCGAGAGCCACATTTTGAAAAGCACCTGCCTTCAATTCGTGAAAGTCCTTGCAGTTTTTGAGAACGAATGTGCGCGGCGCTAAGGCGAGAGCCACATGTTGAAAACCACCCGCCCTCCATCCGTTAAACTGTTTTGCCAATTTTTTAGCTTCAGGGTCAAAATGGGGAGGACGTCTCAGGCGAAACGCCCGGCCCGCCCTAAATACTGGCCTCGGGGTGCGACAGGGAGAAGTTAGTTAAAAGGAGAAGGAATGGAGGATGAGGAGGAGGAGGAGGAGGAGGAGGAGGAGGACGAGAGGGAGGAGGAGGAGGAGGAGGAGGAGGAGGAGGAGGAGGAGGAGGAGGAGGAGGAGGAGGAGGAGGAGGAGGAGGAGGAGGAGGAGGAGGAGGAGGAGGAGCGAAGGAGTGAGGAGGAGGAGGAGGAGGAGGAGGAGGAGGAGGAGGAGGAGGAGGAGGAGGAGGAGGAGGGAGGAGGAGGAGGGGAGGAGGAGGAGAGAGGAGGAGGAGGAGGAGGAGGAGGGAGGAGGAGGAGGAGGAGGAGGAGGAGGAGGAGGAGGAGGGAGGAGGAGGGGGAGGAGGAGGAGGAGGAGGAGGAGGAGGAGGAGCGAGGAGGAGGAGGAGGAGGAGGAGGAGGAGGAGGAGGAGGAGGAGGAGGAGGAGGAGGAGGAGGAGAGGAGAGGAGGAGGAGGAGGAGGAGGAGGAGGAGGAGGAGGAGGAGGAGGAGGAGGAGGAGGAGGAGGAGGAGAGGAGAGGAGGAGGAGGAGGAGGAGGAGGAGGAGGTGGAGGAGGGAGGAGGAGGAGGAGGAGGAGGAGGAGGAGGAGGAGGAGGAGGAGGAGGAGGAGAGGAGGGTGGAGGAGGAGGAGGAGGAGGAGGAGGAGGAGTCGGAGGAGGGAGGAGGAGGAGGAGGAGGAGGAGGAGGAGGAGGAGGAGGAGGAGGAGGAGGAGTGAGGAGGTGTGAGGAGGAGGAGGAGGAGAGAGGAGGAGGAGGAGAGGAGGAGGAGGAGAGGAGGAGGAGGAGGAGGAGGAGAGAGGCGGAGGAAGGAGGAGGAGGAGGAGGAGGAGGAGGAGGAGGAGGAGAGAGGGAGGAGGACGGAGGAGGGGAAGGAGGAGGAGGAGGAGGACGAGGGACGAGGCGACGAGGAGGAGGGAGGGAGGGAATAAGGAGGAAATGGAAAGATGGAGAAATGAGGAAGTGGAAAGGGGAAAGGAGGAGGAGGAGGAGGACTATGAGGATGACGAGGGAGGAGGGAAGATGTATCTGTGTGCAACGATGATGACATCCATGAGTGGCGCGAGCAGTTCAACGAGCGCCACATCCCTGAGCAGCACCACGACGAGGACGTCCGAGAGTAAGGCAAACAGAGCGACAGCTCCTACGCCTGTCAGGGGCACCGTGG